CCCTTGACAAGCCGCGGACGTCATAGAAAATAAAGCGTTCAACAATTCTACTGTTGCATATATTTGTTGCCGCGGGAACGTGTTTACTGAGTTGTTACCAAGCAACGATAAGGGGATACACTTTACCAAGCCGTTGCTTACAAAAATGGGATACAAATAATGCCACACAGACGGATGGAAGGGATTTATATACTACGCCGCTGAGATGGGTTCAGTTGCCATGATATATATACCAAGTTTTATAAAGACTTGTTCAGGCGTTCAAAAGTTTATTGGGGGGGGGGAGATACACAGATATACACACTGGATGCCGACAGCTTAAGCTAGCTTTAGGAAAGTAGGCGAAAAAGAGATGTTCATGAAGAAGCTAGTAGAAGAAAAGAAATTCAAAAAGTGTTTGATATCATTCTGTTCAAGATCTGTTACATTCTCCCATACCTTTAAAACTCGCTTGATGTATGAACCTCCAATTTTACCCGTTAATTGGCATGAGTACAGTACGCGTCTTATTTATTTTCATGGAGGAACATAAATTACAAATTACACCTTCAGAGGGGTGAACACAGAAGGTAATAGACGATATTAAATAATGATGGACATTGTGATTTATACTGGACACTAATAAGGAGCCGGGATGGCGTAGTCGGTAAAGCGATTTGCTAGGGGCTGGACGACTGAGAGGTAGGAGTTCGAGTCCCGGTAGTGTCAAGAATTTTCTTTTCCATGTCGTCCAGACATGACCTCCAATCCAATGGGTACCGAGGCCTCTTTCCTCGGGCGTAAAGCGACCGCGGGGTGAAGCTGACCACTCACCTAAAACTAGTGCCGTGGTTAAGAAACGTGGGTCTATGAATCCACTCCCCCTTACGCCTTCATGGCGTAGTACTTAATTAGTTAAGCATAGGGACAACTTTACTGGACAATAATTTTGTTAAGGCAATGAAATCAATGCTAGAAAAATTATCACTTAGAATACCATGGGAAGCAGATGGATGTCATTCAGCGCCGTAACTAATAGCTAACATTGCTAACTGCTGGATCATCAGACCCTGCTCTCATATAATCAGTTATCTCCAGATATTTTTCCCGGCATTTTTTATCAAAATTGTAACGTATTTCTAACTAAATCTCTTGGGGGTGTACTATATCCGGACCAAGTAACAGATTCCCTATTGAGCCAGTCCAATTTTGTTCACAACACTAAACAATGATTTAAGTATATATTTTAATATTATTCTCCAACCCCTCTGTCTACCTTCTAGCGGATAAACACAATAGACCATTGAAGGTCGCAGTGCTAGGGCCAGTTTTAAGGCTCACTCCTCATACTCATTCTAGCTGATATATTCACATACAAGCCTCGAGTGGTTTCCGAACTCAGAAACCCAGTGTTCGAGCGAGAGAATGCATTCTGTGCCTTAGCACGTCCGCTGTAATCGACACAAATAAATGCAGAAACACTATTTTAGACGTCCTGTGCGTTGAGGTTGTTAGTTCCCGGCCATTTTTTCACATCTCATCTGTAAATCAGGTGGCTGTGCTTTGAAACAGCCTGTCCCATATTTTTCCTTTACCATATAACATATTTCACAATTATTTTTTCTTCCTCCTTATTATTACTAGTAATAAAATTCTCTGCCCCTTCTTCATTCTAGCTCTTCAAGTGTACGATGCTGTTAGCTGCACTCACTCTATATTGCCAACTAATTCGACGGCGAATGAACGAGTTGTGGATAGCAATTATTCCGCAGGAGCGATATTCTGAGAGGCTGTTAGAGAAATGGAATTAATGCAAAACACGAATAACTCACTGACAATATATTTTCTGTCTTGAAAATCGTTGCCAAGTCCAGCATTTCGCCTTAGTGCAGTAACTAAAATGTTCACTGTTAAGGGCAACGAAACATAGGACCAAGTACTTCACAATTTTCAACAGCAGTAATAAATTTCTCTTCTTTCACTGCAGTTCTAACAGCAAGCCCTTTCCCTCTATGTCTCCTGCACATAATCTTTATAATTACACTCAGTAAGTGGCTACAATATTTCTCTTTAGATAAAGAAATACGGGTGTGTACAGTATATGCGACTATTTTACAGTGTTTCGTAGTTTACAATACTTTCAATTTACTTCAAATGAACTATAATATAAAATCTGTATTTGAGGTCATATGAACGACAGGTCTTCAGATTTACATTACTGTAGGGAAAAGTTACCGCCCTATAGTCGATATTTCGCTATATCATAATCAGCTAGGGTACCCTACTTGTGCAGTGAAATGTTACTGTACTACCTGTGCCTCTTTGTCTTACGGTATATATAAAAAAACAAACTTAGATGGAAACCGATAAGGAAGACATAAAAAATAGTTGCCTCATTGATAGTTTTTCACCTACGTTCTTTAGAACTCATACTTCACGTAAGGACACATTATTTTCTCTTGCGTTAAAATTAGCCAAATTTACAGCTGTCTGAGAAAGTTGCAGTACTAAATAAGATACGCCTTTATATTTCAGGTATTTAATATGGCTTACCATTTTAAAGAAGTTACAGAATAAAGCGGAGACGTGCATTCGCTTACAGGAAATATCAATATCACAATTTAATGCAAAATGCAAGGTACTGATATAGACATTAACTTGTAGACCTTAATATACAAGAGACTCCCATATTTTTCCAGCGAGAAAATTGGAAATTATTTCTATTGCAAAATTGAATATTTCATTTAGTTCTGAAGTTTGTAAGCAAATATAGGTAAAAATTGTACTACTGAGAAAGAATAAGTTCAAATTTAATGCACCAATTACAGTTCTTGGTGTTTTCACAAATATCATCAGAATGAAAGTTACTCGTAGAACTCCTTGTAATCATCATCTTCATATTTATTCTAAGGATACGAAAATATGGCGATCCAACTTTTCTAAGAAGCATTATTTTTTAAAAAATAATTAGTCTTATAGCCCTGTACCTAAAGAATCTCTGGGAAGAACCAATCGCCTACTTTCCTTTCGGTGTAATTTCACTGTCTGATACGACAAGCAGAAAGAAACTTCAGTATATATACGTAATAAAGTCAATAGCAAATCCAGTTTGGGAGGCTTCAGTGTTGGTATTACTGACGGCAGTGATTTATGGTACACAAATGAGATGGCCTCAGATGGCATGATATGCGTGCTAAGATTTATGATGATTGGTGCAGGCGTTCAAGTATTATTAAGGTTTAACTTCAGGAATTTAAGAGACTGTAAAATTGAAATCTCTGATACGAGGGATTTATTAATTATGTCATTCAGATGGGATCATCTGCAGTGATATACGCACCAAGTTTCATAAAAATTTGTTAAGGAATTCAGAATTAATAGGGGGATAAAATAACACTGACATGCACACACGTACAGACACACACACCGACAGGAAGGCGATGGCATAAACCCTACATTCATTTTTTCAAAATAAGGAAAGTAGGATAAAAACAGAGAGAGCTACAGCTGGGCTCGAAGAAACATTACAAATTAGGGTCTGAGGTTCTCACAGCGGTAGTTACGAGAGGTCCGTCTTCTGACATAACGCCACGTAGTCCGTTAAAAGTCCATGGATTTTCAGTGGAAAATACCACTTTCATCTTCAGGGTGAAGGAATAAAACAAGCAAGAAACCAGCGTGATACTTGCTTCCTGCTTCACATTAGTTTCTCTCTTGGCTTATTTTCTGACCCTGACTATGGAGGCGACATATTCCTCCGAAACGTCGGTTGACTGTAAACGGACTACATGGCGTTATATCCCAGAAGATGGAACTCTTCAAACGATATAAACATCGTTAAAACAAAATGAGAGCGGGCAGTTGCATACTAAGTATATTTTATGGCCTTAAAATAGTAGGATTGGAGCAATTGATGTTTATGGTTTCATATTTATAACCTAACCGCAGTTGTAGTTGTAAGTCTATCACACAGCGACATTACTGCAAACTTTATGGCTAATATTCATACGTCATGAATCGTGTTCCTATCGGCGTCATTATAAACTTTATGGCGTCAGTCTCAGTCAATCCTGTGTGCTAGTCTCTCCGCGGTCAACAGGCCATTCGGTTGTTAAAGAGGTGAATGTAAATTGAAGGTTTCATGAACAGGAAATTTGTAACGCGTTGCTTCACATGTAGAGAACTAGGAATTTTTTCAATAATTCTGAATTTGGTAATGTTGAAGATGAGTTGTATAGGATTTGAGGTTCTCACAGCGATAGCTACGAGAGATCTATGTTCTGGGATATAACACCACGCAGTCTGTTGTATATCAACCGACGTTTCAGAGGAACATGTCGTTGACTTCTTCAAGGTCGAAGAATAAGCCAAGTAAGAAACAATTTATGCTTCGTTCCTGCTTCATGATGGTTCTGTGTTTGGCTTATTCTTTAAAGCTCAGGATGGAGGCGACATGTTTCCCCCAAACATCGGCTGATTTTCAACGGACTACACCGCGTTATACGCCAGAAGACAAAAATCTTGAAGAAGAGCTGTTTGGAAAATGAAACATGTTACCACAAAAATATGAAGAACTTGCTCTTATTTATTTGAAAAATTTAACTTTTTATCTACTTTTAAAAGCCGTAAATGTTAAAGATACACAGCGTAAGATGACTCTATTGGACCTTAATATGTATGATTTTGAAACATTGTCTGATACTCTAGAGAAAGGGAAATTATAAATATGTACATAGGTCCTCGTGTTTAGATATTAAGCAAATGCAAATTAAATGAATGGGCAGTAGGCAGGCATCAGATTCAAATGAAACTCACATTTATTTATTTAATGCAATTTCTTACCTACCTCAGTAAATATGTAACCAATTATTTGGTTAGAAAATTCAAAATTTCGACACGACTAGCTCCAAAGTCTACAATTAGAAGAGATTTTGAGCCTTTCCTGACAACATACCTATTTAGGCTTACAGTAATATCATTCTGGGACTGTTCCGAAAAATTTCCCCTTGCCTGCGTCTTACCGTTAGCATCCCGGTAAGTGTCCAAGTAGTGAGAGCCGCCACTGTCCGGAGTTGACTCTCGACTGTAGCCTCCTGCAGCACCTGTCGCAGTCGAGAACCCTGGTACAGGACGCACCCCACTGCTGAAGTTCACCGGTTCGTTGGCCGTCGAGAAATCCACGGGTTCCGTCTGCTCCTCTATGGACCGTGGGCCAACGAACCCGGGGCCCACAGGAACCGCCTCTCCGGGGTACATTGGACTGGCTGAACCACTGCAGCAAAATGGGCTGTGTTTGAGGCACTGGCTTACGAAGACAGACGTTACAGAACTAAGCAGATACAGTACAAGAAACTATGGTGCACCCATTTTCATGTGCTTATAGGAAGTATCTCCTAGGAACATTCCTCCTTTACGAACCGCTTCTCCGCATATACACGGTTCGTTCGAGGCCTCGCGCCTCATTATTCATTTATTTCGAAAAAATTAAACAAGCTGCTAATGTACAGGTGTAAATTTCTTCTATTACAACGTCAGAAAATAAAATTGTTTCACAAGAAGCTTCTACTTTATATCAATACTTAGTTAACCTACAGAATTATATTTTCAGTTGTCATATATTACTGTTCCTAGAAGTAAAGAGAAGAAAAATGCCACACTCACCTAGGTTACCCCTGAGAAATATTCATTCAGTAACCTTAACTCCCATTTGTAAGTTTTCTATGGAATGCTTCAAGAAGCTGTTGGTATGCAGCTCCAAAGACAGACTGGCTGACGAAATGGAAAGGATTTTGAAGGAAGTGGTCCAAGCTTAATGGAAGGACAATCCCGACACTCGTCTCGAAAGATTGGAGAAAAACTACGAAAGATGCCAGTCAATACAGCCGATGTTCCAGCTGAGATTCGAACTGAACACCCATACAGAAACCTGTCCAATACTATTTATAACAAAAAATCTATGTAAATGAAACCATAGGATTCCGAATTACGTCTTTTTATGTTGAGTATAATTTTTCAGGAACGTTGCTATAGTTAATGGGGGTGTATTTGAATTGCTGTGAAAAATACTTAAATAATGAAATCAATAGTATTAGAACACGGGTCCATAATGTTCGAAAGTTTTTTTGAACATAAATGCTGAACATCACAATGGGTACAAAATGCCTTTTCTGTTTTATACACAGATGAATTTCATATGAAACGCAGCATACGGAAAGAAGGAAGAGGTATATTTAATGTTTCGTCTAGAGTTTGAAAAGCTCAGCTTGGATTCCTTCAAATCTCATGACGTGAGAAAAGGACGGGTTTCTTAAGATTCCGTTTTGTTTTCCCGAGGCGGCAACGGCATGAGGTCTGCGGCACCAAGAAATGAGGAAGAAATATAATTAAAATGGACGAAATGAGAGGGGGGAGAACACAGTCGGAGAGAGATAAAAAGGAGAATAATAGGAAAATGTGCAGTGTACACACATACACACGCACACTGAAACCAGACAGAGTTAGAGAAATATGATTTTCGTTTGGCGGAGAATTTTGTGTTTTTAAAAGAGAGTGAAGGATTTGTGGGGAGGGAAAGGAAGGAGGTTATGATGAACTGATCTTACCGCATCACTGGTCCCATAGAAATGTCAATTTACTTGTTCATCGTCTCGAGTGGATTATATAATGGAAACAGGAAAAAGAGAGAGGACCCATCTGGATCCACTCCATCTCGGTGCTACAACAGCCTTCTTCTCGGGCCATGCACTTCAGCTTCTCATGCGCATTGTACATCTTTTCAGTTTGTATTCGCGGGCAACAAAGATGGCCGACCGAAAGAGACCAAGTCAGGTCAGAGGCAGAAGTTTAGAAAACGTGGATAAAGGAGGAAAAAAAAAGTGTGGATTGTTTTCAAACAAACTGAGAAAGTTTCGCTTTAGGGCTTGAATTGGAAATGAAAGGCATGATGGGAAATAAGAAACGAAACGAGGACGAAGAAGATATTCGTATAGAAAGTTATGGGAATAAGACAGAAGATTTTTTAAAAGTGAGATGGAATAGGGCTCTTACTCTTGGCATATTTTTTAACTACATTTACTGGAAGATGAAGTCAAAACATTTATAAGAGCCTTATATTATGTAATTTCGCGTAAAGGTTAAAAGGGCATGGACCAATGAAGCCTGTGAGATCTCAGACTCTTATAAAGGTAAGTGTGAAGATCACAGTCCTCTTGGATGTGACACAGTGTAGACTGGTGTATAGATACCAAAATTACAAGTTAGCTTGCTGCCTCCATCTTCAGGGATCTACAAGATCGTGATCTTCAGTCATAACCCTTTTACTATTACAGAGTATTGTAATCCTACGAGAGATGGCCAGCCATCTTTGACAGCTCCACTTTTCTTATTGTTCAAATTAGAAACGTCGGTCTCAGTGCTGAGGTCGACTGTCTATATAGTCCTTCTGTAAAACACAAACTAACATGATATAAGTGTATAACCACACTCACTCAAGCAGCTGAGACCTTCTTGAGAAGCTGCCAATTGTGCAGCTACTCAAGAACTTCCCAGTATTTTGTGGAACCCGAAGGTTCATTATCATATTCACAAGAACCCTCCACTGGTTCCTATCCTTTCGCTTATGTCCTTTATCCAAGGCATCCGTCCAGATCCGAGGCTTCTTGCAAATGTTCGTAATAAGCTTACTTATCACGGCGAGGAGTTGTAAGTCCCACGCCCAACCCTCAAGCTGGAGGATCATCCCTTTTCGGCTGTCCGCTACTTCTTATACAATATATTAGCAGCTACCTTCCATACTTGGAGGGCGTCTCCTCCATCCGCAACCTGAGGACGCGCCATGCCGTGGTGACAAAGAGACACACTTAACTTGGAAATATAACCACAAGAGAATTAAAGGAAAAGACAGCAAATGTGAGACAGATTCTTTCGACTGAACAGGTGAGATACTTGTCCTAAATCTCAATTGCAAGGTCAGTGTTATGCTGGCGGTCAGCCAGTTTCTCCAACAGCTCGCAACGCTATTCTTCGCTTGGCCAACAGTGGCTGGAGTATAGCAATAGTCTTATCTGTTGTCTTCTGTCGCCATTTTCACGAAAGCTACTTATTTAGAACAGTCTTGTATTCTCTCAATTTGGGTGACATGGTTAGGCTGGAGGGTAAGTATGCCGTGCTCTAAGTGGGACATAAGAAAAGGACAATACTGGGTTAAGAAGGTCTCTGACATTAAGGGAAGACTATAGACTGAGGGTGTTTGAGAAAAAGGTGTTGAGGAGAATATTTCGACCGAAGAGGGATGAAGTGAGAGGAAGTTGGAGAAAACTGCATAATGAGGAGCTTCATAACTTATACGCTTCTCCAAGTATATTTAGAATGATGAAGTCAATGAGGATGAGGTGGGCAGGGCATGTAGCACGAATGGAGGAGAAAAGAAATGCATATTGGATTTTTGTGGGAAAGCCAGAAGGAATGAGATCACTGGGAAGATCAAGGCGTAGGTGGGTGGACAATATTTAAACGGATCTTAGAGAGATAGGATGGGGTGATATGGATTGGATTGTTCTGGCTCAGAATAGGGACCAGTGGAGGGCTCTTTTGAACACGGTAATGAACCTTCGGGTTCCACAAAATGCCGGGAATTTCTTGAGTAGCTGCAGATTTGGATCCTCCTCTAGAAGGGCCCAGCACCATAATTAAGTAAGTACTGGGCTAAGAAGAGGTTTGTCACAACAATGTAGCACGCAGGCAACATTTTCGTGGATTATGATCGTTGTAAAGGATATATTCCTACACTAGAAATGAATTTCTTCAGTAAAGATGTGCCTACAAGAAAACGGCGTACCTAAACAATATTAAGCCCTCAACATTGCTCCTGATTCACTTCGAAATAAATATTCATTAACGAACTTTCTTTGGCACACTTCTTTGTTTCAGAACTGACAGAGCTAAAATGCGTCACTGAAGTTTTTCCTTAATATATCAGAGTATGCCTATTTTAAAATTGATTATTACGATAAGTTTCCATAGAAACAAAACACAAAGATTACTGGATGCTGAAATTTGCGTACATTAAAGCGTAACAGGGAGGCAAGGGTATTTTCTCCAGGTCATGTATTTTTGAACACTTCAACAGAGTCTGTATATTCCCAAGGTATCTCGAGAAGTTGAATACAAGAACTCAGTTTACTAATTTTTATTCTTTATATAATACTTACAGAATATTATTAACCTGTTCGACGTTCTTGTCGTAAAAGATGTGTATCTCTCAACGCGAGTTCATATTTTGTAGCTTTTCTTATAAATAATATTCTTTAACAAAGCCGGCAGTACTACGGAGTTGTTATAGTATCCTAAATAAGTCTTAAGATATGCCCATTTGCCGTTTTAGTGTGTCTTAACTGCTTCCTTTTTAACTCCCTCGACGACTTACGGGATCCGGTAAGTGGCGGTTTGCCCTACAAGCATATAGAACGCCCCTTGCGGCGAGCTCGACAGTTAATACCGGCATTACCTCGCAGTCTGGGTGAACACGTAGGACAAAAACAGTTACGAAAAAAAAAAATGCAAGAATGAAACCAGGGGAAGATGTTAAAAGGAAAGAAAGCTGGAAAAGCGTTAAATTTAAATTTCGTTTAGAACACAGCATACATTTTCTTTTGTTGAAGCACTCTAATTTTACTCTTGAAGTCCCGTTTTCTGAAACAATACATTTCATGCACTGCGTGTTGGATCTGCTTTAGGCAACGACACGAGTTTCAAAATAAGTGGCCCAGGCTCAAATATGGATATTGCATATGCGATTTGTGATGGACATAGAGCCACTATGACAGCTTTCTTTGCGGGAACTTCGAAATTTCTCTTCTACCAACTAATTCCAAAGGTATTTCATGCAGAAGTATCACTGCAGCTGGGTTGTGAGTTCGAGCATATCAGCCACCATCATGACAAATTGTGTGTGTGGGAGGGGGGAAGGGGAAAGGGTGAAGGATGCGAGAGGGTGTCTGGCCAAACCAGTGAGCAGAGTATCACACAATCTGACATCGGTAGACTAGTTCAATTGCCCGAGTATGTGTGTCAAAAATACTGCCATCCTATCAATGTATACATATTTAAGTCTGAAGAGAGAGAGGGGGGGGGGAAAGGGAGAAAAGGGGGTATCAATGAGAGATACTACATTTGGGGAGGTAAGAAACATTTATTCGACTCACGTTTTGAAGGTCCACTGGCAGCGCCAATTCACTCGTCTGGTAAAAGTACGTTTGAGAGAGGGTAAAGATTTACGAAGTGAAAAAATCAAGTTTCAGCATATGAAATTTGCTAAGAGCAAAGGAGAAAAGTTTGGCAGAGGTTTTATTGAGTATGATCGGAATTAATCATAGCAAGAAGTCGTTACAGTCTCCACATATTAAGCAAATTATATAGGAATAAATTCTGAGCCTACATTGATTCATATTAACATCTGGAGTCAGAGTTATTTATGACTGACGGTTTACCGCCCATCAGTTCGTCTTGGCGACAAGCCCCTTGAGACTCATGACCAGTAATTTTATTATCCAACTAAACGCTTGCGGTTATATTCCTTATGTAACATCCTCTCTGATGAGAGAACGGGTCTGTTGTTTATAATTGTTGCTGATCCTCGCCAGCGCAGCCATTCTCATGTCCTAGTATCGTGGGACTCATGGCCATATTTTACTGTCTCAGATTCAAGACTCTCCCAAAATGTAAGGCCAGCTTCCCTTATTTATATCCCCCTGGAACAGGGTGGTTCGGCTATATCCCCAGGCACTGGGTTTCTAAGCTTGAATTTAGTCTAAATATGATTTAAAAATTCAGCTCTTACGTCAGAATAAATTTATCGCGTCTCTATTAAAAACACCACCCGGTTACTGCTGCTTAGGAAAGTAATCGATGTTAATTTTGTGAATGATACGAAACATGTGAACAAACAAGGCGGGCAAACTGGAGACTTTTTAATGCTAAAGCATTTGGTAGGTATAGCTAACCATTTTCCTTTAAGTGGTTAAAAAATTACGAAATACTTGAAACCGAGTTCGTTAATATAAACAAACACTGGCAATCTAAAAAAAAAAAAACCCATGTTTCAGCACGGACCATCCTATTTCACAGTCCCTGTTAATTACAGTTTCCTCTTATCAGTAAAGTTAGGTGCATTTCCTCTGACAAATATCACCTGCAACTCACCTGGCAGGAACCCGGCTCACGCTCAAATCAAGGGTTTGTCCCTGTGGACTGGGTACCTGGGGACTGGCAGTGTGGTGAGGACTGGCGGCGGCTTGAGGACTGCCTCCAACGACGCCACCTCTTTGGCCACCCCCATAGTGGGGGCTCAAGTTGCTAGCTCCGTAACCCGGTGCCTGAAAATCATATACGAGGTCTGACAATAGAGCTCGCAAACTCGCCACCGTGGACAGCAGTGGACAGAAACCTCAGTATGGTTTGATGATATTGGCATATCAATGTTACACAGCTGTGTTGTTGTTGATCTATGGCAGTCTCTTTCTGAGTGGCGTCTATTATTATCTGAGTGTGTTCCGGTGCGCCGTCGCGAGAATGTCGGAGCCTGAATTAGAGCACTATCTGTGAGTGAGGTTTTAGCCAGTAAACAAATAAATGTGCTGGAACACCCTCCCTACTCCCCGGACTAGCCCCTAATGACTTTTTTCTGTTCCCGATGATAGAAGAAATATTGAAAGGAAGGCATTTTGTTGACATAGATGACATCAGGAAGCTCTAAAGGCCATTCCATAAAACCTGTTCCAAAATTGTGGTACACAGCTTACAAAGGGGAGTAGTTTGAAGGCGAACACAGTGATATTAGCACTTTTACCGCGGTGAGTTCGCGAACTTTATTGTCAAACCACGTATCTTGTAGTCTAGTGATAATTTGACACCAGAATATTGTAGGGAAGTGTTTACGATGCAGTATCTATACGTATTAGGCAGCTGGTCGGTTGGAACATCACATATCCAGACTGAGGTCTCCTTGTCTCATAGAAAAAATGACATAAGAAACGAATTGGGCAATTGTTTATCCTTCCAACTCGCATATCTGACAGGGGTTTCAAAATTCAGGCGTCCAACTTTAAATTAAATACTTTATAATAATATCAACGTAGGAGCCGGGGTAGCGTAGTCGGTATAGCGACTGCTTACGGGCTGGATGACCGAGGGGTCGGAGTTCGAGTCCTGGTAATGTCAAGAAATTTCTCTACTCCACGTCGTCCAGACCCTCACTGGGGTCCACACAACCTCATATCCAAGGGATACCAGGGATCTTTCCTCGGGAGTAAAGCGGCCGGGGCGTGAACTGACCACTCACTTGCAATAGTGCCGAGGCCAAGAAAATGTGGATGTATACATCCACTCCCCATACGCCTTCATGGCGTAGTGCTTAATTTGTTAAGCACAGGGACAACTTTATCTTTTACTTTTATAATACCATCAACACAAATATTTAACAGTCGATATGTTTTATTTTTCATTACCTATTTTGATCCTGATTTCTATGTTACCTTCAGGTGGCATAATATACACAGACATCAGTTTATTGAATCCTTATGCTTATATTCTATCGAACTTGAGTTTCTCATATGCTAACATTACGAATGTGTCGTAAATATGGATATTTATTTGTTAATTAGTAAAATATAAATATACTACATTAAAATATTCAGAAAAATGAATTAAATATAATACAAAATCTGTATATATGCATATGTATGGGTAGCTGTTATTGTACCTATGAGGTGAATTTAATGTGTATGTGAACTTATTATTCTTGAAAGTTTATATCTATTGCCTAGGTTAAAACCAAAGACTCTAGCTTAAAATTTATACTATAAAAAGTCCATTCGCGGAGACGAGACAGTCAGCGTAAACAAAGCTAGCCCCGAGTCGCCGCAGCTGAGAGCAAGGAGTGGACAAAGCGCGCAGTTACTTCAGTGTACTCACTGCATTCGGACGCACGTTAACCTGCATTCAGACTGAAGAGTGAACTTTCGACGCCCCTGCAACGATACACGCATCACGTGATCGCTGCATGATTTCATTCAAAGAGCGAAGGAGACACCGCGTGCGTTTGTTTACGAGGACTTTCTCGTCTCCGCGAATGGACTGTAGTTCCAAAATGAGCAAAATGTTTATACTAAGAGAAGTGTCTGTGGAAGGGATTACATTACCAAATTCGTAAAGAATGGAAGAGTAGAAAATGGGATAACAGGCTTAAACATACGAGTGTTGATGGAGAATACAATGTCCTTACCTGCGGACTTGTTGAGGTGACGCTGGAAGTAGACAGGTCCATGACGGAACCACCTGGTGAAGTTGGTTCAGAAGATTTCATCTGTGCTTGCGCCTGGGCCTGGGCCTGTGCCTGCGCCGCCGCGACACATTTTACAGAGAGATTTATCGCTGACGGGAAACCTGGAGGTATGCCTCCCGTCGCAGGGTCGTAGTGGTACATGGGCCTGCAGATTCCACAAGTTAATAGGAATCAGCTGTTTTGTGGTAACAAAGAAATATTCTGGCTGCGACAGAATGAGAGCAGATTATGGTTCAGAATGCTAACTTACAATGCTGGCAACTATCAGGAAATAACGAAATGGCATTGACTATTTATAAAAACGTAAGAAAATATAAGATAATAAACACAAAAATTCAAAATATGTATGTTATTAAATATAAAATGCAGGCTTAAACATTTATGTCTTCTTGATTTATCTTCTTTGTTGAGCAATGAAAGCCGCATATTCAAAATTTGCACTGGTTAATAATGAATTATTATTTTCCTGAAAAGAAAGTTTTAAATAATGGGATCATAAATTCGTCCAACTAAAGACTCTCATAACCTGTCTTTTAGAGAGGCCACGTGAAGGTAGCATAATCATAAAATTGGAATACAGAAAGTGTCACTACTACCAAATTTTTGGTCCATTCTTGAAAACTGCTAGAATGATTTTGACTACATTTCAGTAACTTACAGAGACTATATCTCTAAACAGGAATGCAAGAGTGACATCTTCAGGAAAATAATGATACACACACTAGGGTTCCAGCAGCCAAAGACTAGTTTTCTCGAAAAAGGCTTGATAAATAGTGATTAGGTTCTAAACATCTACAGAGGTACTGAACCAAACTTATAAGGCTATGATTATCATACTGTATTCAAAATTTACAATCAGAAACCAAAAGTAGTCTACCGAAGAACAATTAATTTTGTTAAAATGGTTACGAAGTCAGGGCCAATTGTATATGGGGAAGCATGTACACTGTTTCTGCACTGTCTTTATGCCTGATAAACTGATATCAATTTTACAATTGTAGGACGGTATGCACAAATTCTGCATAATGTTTGTAATTCTATAGATTTGGGTTTAGTCGTAGAGAAAGTAAATGAATTGCTTTCGCATTAAAATATCCCGGAAGATAAAGTACTCCAAACACGCGATTCTTTCTCTGCACTTTGAAATGGTGGAAGAAATGTTATGAATTCATATTATATTATCAAATTAGTAAATGATCCGTATTGTCCAGGCAGTTTTCTTTATCTGCAATGCATAACGCATGCCGGGCTCTTTTGATTAAGATTTTGTAAGAAGAATGATCCTTTTGAAAGAACTTCATGATCGGAGGTTCAGCTGATCGAAAGATGGCTACTGTATATTACAAAACAACAACAAAAACAAGTTAACAAGCTGTAATTTATGTTCTCATAACTTTATACTGCTCTACAGAACATTAAAATTTGCTGATGTGTAAGGCAAGATTCTTTCTTTGCATATGTAAACATTTTCGTGGCCTTTTAAAAGCAAATTAAACAAACTACGGCAAATTTACAGCAGATAAAGCGGCAGGTTTTCCGAAATATTCCATCAGCAGTTACGCTACTGATAGTAAAGATCATCTTACCTTGGGTAAAGCGGCCCAGTGTTGGCTTCCGCCTCTGGCGACCCATCCGGTTTCAACATTGCGGCAGAGGCAGCAGCCATGCCAGCTGCTGCAGCTGCCGCTACGGCCATCTGATGCTGCTGCTGTTGCTGCGTCACGGCCTCTTGATGGTACTCCCGCACCTGCTGCTCATGTTCACCGAGAGTCCCCTGACTAGGCGCGTAGCCGTACATACTGGGCAGTGGTGGTGGTGGGGGAGGCCTCTGTGGATGTTGAGGAGGTGGTTGTTGCTGTTGTTGAATAGGGTTGCAAGCTTGTTGAGTTGTGTCGTATCTGTCGTACGCCGTTGCAGTGCCAGGATCGTATGGCCGATGTCCCGGGGTGGTTACAACACCTGTGTCATATGATCGCACTGTCATTTCGGAGGAGTAAGCCACTATCGGCCGGCTGATGTTAGCGTTATTGTTCACATTGTTCATAGCGTTGTACTGTCTACCAGAATGATCTGGTCGGTGGTGGTAAAGTTCATCTGACGAGGTTGGTACCATTGCCGTGGAATCGTACGGCGATCTCTGAGGAATCTGATGAAGTGTCCGAGGGTCTTCTACTAACGACATAGTATTGTAGGGTACCGGTGGCGGCGGTGGATGGTGTGGGTGTTGATGGTGTTGAGGTACAGGGTTATGGGGATGGGGAGGATGCTGGAGATGGTGATGTGTGCCACTTGACATAGGGTTAGCACTTCCTCCACCCCCGCCACCCCCACCACCGCCACCACCCCCACCAACAGCTGAACGCGAACCTAATGTCTCCATACTGGACACTGAGGATGAATTCGAATCCTGATTGAGGTATGTCGTTGGGTCGAAGCTAGTTTGTCTAAGGGGAGCTGGAGGGGGTGGTGTACACGATCTGCAAGAGTTAGCGCCGGCACCCCCCACTCCCGCACCAACACCAACACCAGCACCATTCCCATTAGCGGCTTCTGTCTTGGGTACCAACAACTCACCTCGGACACCAGTGTTGCTACAACAACTGCTGGTGCCTGTCACTTCAGTTTTCGGAATCACTTTACCGGTGGACCCTGTACTAGCGCTCCCTCTGCTGTGTGAGTCGAGATCCTCGGGAGTCTGGGGCTGTTTGAGGCTTCCCGCTGGCGGTTTGCTACCAGTACTGCTACTGCTACTGACATAGTAAGGCGAGTGCACGAATTCTGACTTCCCACCAGGGGTTGGAGGGAATTTGTCTGAGGTATCCTTCCCACTGCTGCTTCTCGAGGCAGAACCGTAGCCCATAGAGTAGCAAGGCTTGACGTCTGTATGTTGTAAGGAACATCCGGAGGTGGTGGCCATCATGTGGGGAGGCGGGGCTAGAGGCGTCTTGCTGATGAACCCACTGCCCCCAGCCGTAGGCGTGAACTCGGACTGGCAGTTTGGAACTGGAATGGTAACATACGTGTAGATGTGACACATATCAGGACGTCTGCTGTCAAATTCGCACAATCTTGCAGCCATAACGCAAAGAAGGATTAATTTTGTTCAGATGTTGGATAATCACTTCACACTCACTTGGCCTCTGCATTTGAGTTGCTGGAAATATGACTGCATTTCAGAATACAAAGTAGGAATTAAATTTATTGACCTCTTTAATCATTTCAGCATTGGAGTCACCAAAGGAAAGAAATTCTATATTAATTTATGTGGGTTGTAGCTGGACGCAATATCGAGTAGTATTTAATAATGACGTCCTAGAGTTCTAGTTTATGGGATTTGAGGGCGTACAGTCCGTTGAAAGTCGATAGAAGTCCCGGAAAACATCGTATCCATCTTCAGTGCAGAAAAAAAGTAAAGTAAGAAACCGGCATCAAGAAGACAACAAGCAGAATTTGCTTAAATCCTGAAGATGGAAGAGATAAGTTCCTTCGAAACATCAGTTGACTTTCACCGGCCTACAGGGCATTTTATTCCAGAAGATAGAAATCTTCATTCAATAACAGATTTGCTGTCACCAGGTCTTTTTTCAAGTGGTTCTTTTCACGTTAGAGCAATATGTCTCCGTCAGCCAAAGGGGTATAGGGTACACAGTATTCTTCAGCTAAATGTTATCAAAATTTTTGCTGTCGGAGTCTATATAAATGTCATATTCAAACTGAAAGAAGAACTTCGACGTAGAAGAATATAGATACGAATTTTAATTGAGAGAAAAATTAAAAGGGTAGAAAAACTAGGTGGACATTTACATGAATAGGGGCGACAACTCTGCAATTAGAACTTCTGACCATCAAATATCAACAAACATTTGCATTCTGCTTTTACTGTAATACACTGCCGATGCTTTCAGACCTGGCGTGTCTCAACAAAATTCTCAGTGGATCTGGTCGAGCTAACTATAAGAGATGAAGATATTAGGTTGTGTAAGGTTTAATGAGGGGCTTTAGTTCAAATGCGTCACACTCCCTCCTTCCAACAGTGCAGCTGCAAGTACTACCACGCTGCTTCATATTTCTCACACGCAACCCAGATGCTACGTCTAAAAAGACGGTTTCTATGCTGTTATAATAATAAACAACGCTAAAATATTTGCCCCCTTTGCAATAACACAAGGATAACATATATTATGAACATATGAGGGTGTTGTCATTAACACAAGATGTAACTAAAATGCCACTAACTGTTAGTTGAGGAACAAGAGAGGGCAAACAGAGGCATGGTTTTCGGCCAAATCGATGTCATGTCATAAGAAAGATTAAAAAATAAACGCGAAATAAAGTCTCACAGACGTAATATATTTGCAAAACCATACATTAGAAATTTCCAGCGCGTTTTGTTTTACTCGTCAAACGAGGCAAATTGACGGTGTATGCTATACAGTTAACTACTAATCGTAACTCGGGTTGAAATGTACGGTGTAAGAGTTATTGAAGTTTTCTAGCTGAGTCATTTTGATGAGGTGTACCGCGTTTTAGGTTTATGAGGTCACAAGATGTGGCTTTGGGTGCCAGCAGCACGTACTTAGTAAAGCTGCAGCCTTGTACGTGGCCGGCAGAAGAGCACGCGGAACTATCCCTCCGCTCTGTGTCTCAGAGAGATTGCTCTTGAAAATTTCAGTTTTGCTTTTGCCCACGAAGAGTTGCACAGACATTTATGGTTAAAAATTCTGGATATCATTAAATTTAGCTCTTCTATCATTGGTTTCATTATTTTATCTCAATTTATGTTATCCGAAAGCCAAAAAAAATGTAATGACGGAAATACAAAACAAATCAATTTTATTCAATAATAGTAATACTTCTAATGACTCACATAGAAAGTGTATCATTAGGCAGACCAAAATTTTATAAAAAATTATGAGAGCCTTTAGGCATCTTTACTGTAAGAAATTAATTTTATATAAAGAAAGCAGTCTTCTAGGATGTGGCGCCGTGTAGATACTGTGTTAATCGACGTTTCGGAGGAACGTATCGCCTCCATCCCAGAAGACTGCATTCTTCATAGTCACTGCCATGAAAACCTCAAATCTTACACAGTTTTATATAATTAATGAAATGATTTTCAGGTGGAAATAATTTATAATGAAGATACAAATTTATTACAGACGTCGAATTTCACACGTGAATGGATTTGAACCAAGGATAGGCAGTTTTCGTACTCAATAGTAGTGTTTCGTTATTCATATTTTCTAAAGATTCAGCTATATATATTCCATAAAATAACTGCGATAAACATTTGAGCGGATCTGCAAGTTTATTTTACAATTTGTCATACAGAGGCACTCTAAAATCGTGTGAATATTTTAATCGGATATGAGCGATTAGGTCCAGAATAAAGTATATTTCTCTCTTGCTCTCCCTCTGTAAAGACATTTCAAAATACTTAAGGCAGAAACTAAAGCTGAAGAGACATGACAAAAACATTCGTGTTTCTTCTAAATATGCACAGGGAACAATAAGCGTTAGAAATTCACACCTCGATATCTAGAGATCTCTAATATGAATACGAAATTCTTTTACTTTGGCATGAAATTCGAGTTAAGATTTCTCTATAAAATACTAGGAACTCGGTGATTTCTGGTTACCCAATTCGATCAGAGTTGTCACTCCTCAAAAAATACTATCATTTATTTTTTGTTTGATTTCAGGGGTCACATAAGTAGCTCAATTATAAAACGTGTTTAAATAATACTGTCAAGGGTTATGGCTTCTTCTGATCTAAAGTTAAGTCAGCCTAAGGATGACGAAGTGCACAAAATATAACTTGGTTCCCAATCTTGGAACGTCTCAGACTATGAGTTAGAACTTGTTTACATTGAGCTAACTACTATGTGCTGGGACTATATGTCACATAATAGCAGTGCTTGGACTATCCAAGAGCTCTCTATATTCAATTCACACAGGAATGTGAAGTGGCTTTACACTGCAACAGGCTTCTACTTATGTGAGTCTCACTGGTGAGGAAAGAAGGTGCTAGCAGACATGAATTCTAGTTGCTGAAATATCTTGCGTCGAAGTTTCGGACTGACCTGCCAAGGAGGCAGCAGTAGCGGGCCCCGCCGTGCGATGGTGATGGTGGTGAAGCTTGTGCTCCCGGGATGCCTGCTTGTTAGCAGCCGCTATTGGGCAGCCTGATAAGCTCCGATGGGTATTGCGATTGGTGCTAACATGACCTCGACCATTGCAACCAGGGGTTGGACATTTCAGGATAGTCTCATGCATCGCCAGGACTAATGGACATGGACAACAGAATCATCCAATCAGTTTTGATTTGAGTATAAACGACCTTTATCTTTATAATAAAGACCTACAGTGTATTTAGATTGGAAACTATTCCTTCTTTCATTATCACACACTTTTAGCTTTATATATGTTCAACAGTGTACGAAGTTTATTGATAAACAATCGAAACGCAAACACAGAGAAAGAGAAAGAAATAAAGGAGCGGGTAGAGAGTAAATAAAAGAAAAAAGTAAAGAAAATTTAATATTGGTGCTATGGTTAAAGTTATAGTTTACTGTTACATTTGCCATATATGTCCGATTTCATACAAAGAAGGAATAAAATGGAAAAGCTTTCAAAGACAAACACGTTCAATAGATTACGTGCTCGCAAGAAAGTAATAAAATCGACACAAACATAACAACATTTCTGAATAACAGTAAAAAAAAAATAGGGTAGCTAATATAACAAAGATCATTCGAAAGAATTAAAATTAAGTATGAGTTTTGAAAGACCAGTTATATCGAGGCATTATTTCAAAACGTGTTGAAATTTGTTTTCTGCTTGCTGTGTGGAAACATAAAGGTGTATTATACTCAATCAATATTTTCTGATTCTGGTGCATGCCCTAGTGCAGTTTGGAACAAGTGAAATCGAAAGAGGAGGTGAAGTATAATGCACTAAGGTGTAAAATAAGTCAATAAAAAGATAAACGAAACAAATCACTTGGAGAGATGGTGTGTTACTAATTACTACTAAAATCATAAAACCTTATTAATTTAAGAACCAAAATAATTAGCTCTCTACCCCGCAAAGAAAGCAAATCATATTAACAAAGACAAATATTGCAATGAAAGAAATTTATTTGTATGCAGAGCACAAAGATACAAAAGCCCATACTTTTTTCAGAAACAAAACATTCTTAAAACATAAAGTACAAAAAATTATTTACTTACTTTCTGGAGTAACTTTATCCTTCCTTGGGCATCCTGACAGGCTGAGAAGAAAACATGAAAGATGTCTATCCCAAAATTTCAAGGAAGAATATGTTATTCTAAATGCTTATTAACAGACAGCTATCAGTTGTATCATAATTATCAGAATATGAACATCATACGCATTAGTACATAAACTTCTCCACCTAAGGTATATAGACCGTGCACATAATTACCTTCTGTGGTGTGAGTATAGTCCAGTCACATGACCCTGTCCGTTGCAACCTGGTGTCGGGCATTTGTTACCTTCTGCAAACAATCAAGAACAAGAAAGCAACGTGTTTAAATGTCTGCTTTCATTTATATGAAAATGCAGCATGCAAATTCAAAAACAAGAATCAGTATCTCTTGCCAAGTTTCGTAGCAAAGAATTCTTCGGGCGATGGGTAGGTTTAAATTTCAGGGTTATTACGTTTCCAATTACTGATGATTGCCATGTTTGGATCACTGGTTTATGTTTTATTCGGAATATTCTTTTGAATCTAAGGGAGAAGAAGTAATAAGAAGACATAGAAACTCGCATATTGCAAGGCTTCATAATGCGAACCCAGCGAAAATTACGTATTTGGGATGCAATTAATGTGGCTGCCTTCACGGATGTGATAGGTGAGGAATGAGTAAAAAATTTTGGTCGGAAAATCTGAATGGAATATATAATTTTGGAGACCTAAAGCTAGGTGGGAAAGTAATATTAAAATTGACTTAGAAATAAGACGTTAGGATGTTGACTGGATTTATGTTTATCTGATATAAGACAGGGTTTACTGGTGCTAAAGACGGCCAAAAACCGGATGGCATTACGAGACTCTGTAATATTATGACATGTAGACCTACTGCCACATAAAAACTGTGTAAGCAGGTGACAGTACAAGAGCCGTTGCTAGGGAACAGTTCCGTGCACAGGTTGTTTCCCTGGCAAAAAGATAACACGTAATAATGGAAAAGATATTTTCTGTACTGTCCGTGCTGTGGGGACCCTGTAACCTCCAGAGGGCGCAGTCCTTGTGTGGCGCAAGAGGGAGCCAATCTGGTAAGGTTGGCCAGTCTCAGTATGATGAATAAAATCCCAAGAACAAACATGGGACCCAGTTCGTGGGGCCATTAAATTATACGGACACCCTTCTCCAGGGGATATAAATGTGGATAGGATTAACTGAGCCTCATCACCAGTCTCCGTCCAAGTCGGAGTTGGATAGCATGGGTTAATTTTAATGACGAAAAGCCAAGCATATACATAAGAGAAAACCCCATGGTCTCTTCAGAGAGGATGTTACTTGAGGAGTATGATAGGAAGGGTACAATTGGAAAAAGAAAAGAACTTTGTTAGCGAGTCTTACGGGCCTTGGCGGCAAGACGAAATGACGGGCGGTAACCACCAGTCGTAAGGTAAGTTTGACTTTGACTTTCAGGTGTGAGAAATGAGAAGCTGGTAGCTGAGGACGGGGATAGTTAGGGATACCAGAGGAAGAGGAATGAACTCTACTGGAAACCGCTACCGAGCAACGGCTAATGAAGACTGAGAAAACTTTATATGTGATATAGTGACAGTTACCTTTGGAGTGTGTAACTCAGTGAGACTGCCGTACTTATTTGTAGTTACGTTCTGCGAGTGTTCAGTAAATTCAGTTACCTGTCCAAACCCCATCTACAGTCACTCAATCGTCCGACTGTATTAAGAAGGCACGAAAAATTTGCTACTCTTGGAAGAACTACAATGAACCCCCTTTCGGATGCACACCAACCATGATTTGTGAACTGGCAAACGAACAGCCATGATCTATATGCAGAACATAGGGATCACGAAGGATACATACTGGGCATGTGCAATATCATTCTTGGTGGGCCAGGAATCATGATGCTGTCTTATAATAGATTCCAAAATTCCCAAGGTCGTAGTTTCATTGCAATTAGGATAAAATCGTTAGGCTAATCGCACGACCAATTTTCAGTTTATTAAGTTCAAAAGTGTACTGCTTTCTTTCGATCTATGTAAGCTGCACTTTCTTCTAAACAGTGGTGTAACAGCTTAGAAAAGTGCACCCATTTAGGGAAGGTAAAGTTGTCCGTGTGCTTAACTAATTAAGCAGTAAGCCATGAAAAAGTATGGAGGAGTGGATGTATAGATCCACATTTTCTTGAACTCCGCACTGGTTGGTGGTGAGTAAAATGCACTTTGTAGCTTCTTTTTTTCCCCCTCTTGGCACTACAGCCCCAGTGGGCCTAGGCCTACCTCCATGAACTTCTCCGTTCACTTCGGTTTCTCTAGATCTTAGACATTCGGTAGGACTCCTTGGGCGGTTGATCAGCTCGTCGCAAGGCCTCTACCTGTACACAAACACAGAAAAACGCACACAAACATCCATGCACTGAGTGGGATTCGAACTCACGATCCCGGCTTCCGAGCTAGCGAAGACAGTGCATGCCTTAGACCACTCAGCTACCGTGACCGGCCTTTGTAACTTCTAAGAAAATAAATTCACATTGAAATAACTCATATTATGAAGAGTTATGTTCCTTGCGATATAACGTCATGTAGTTCGTTGAAAGTCAACCGACGTTTCGGAGGCACATGTTGCTTCCATGTTCATGGCGAAGAAAAAGCCAAACATGAAATCGGCATGAAGCTGGTAACAAGTAGAGAGATATTTTCTTTCGAAATATCGGTTGAATTTTAAAGGACCACACGGTGTTAAGATATAACCACCACTGTGAGGATGTCAAATCCTATAACTGAATTTGCATTCAGTTACATAAACACAAAGTATAACTGTAATTTTCACAGAGGCGTGAAATACTACAAGAATGAAATCACACAACCAATATACTTGTACTTGGGCTGGTGCACCGCCGTGGGCAGCATTCCTGCTTCATATTCGGAAGCCTCAATTTCAAATTGCGGCCCAGATACCACACATGGTCACAACTGTTCGAGGTTTTCCTCAGTTTCAGGAGAATCTTCTTAAAACACTTCATGTCTCCTTCATTCGACATCACTTCCAACTCATTATTCACTAGTAATAAAGTTATATTTTAGCACTCTGCTACACTGCTAATTAATTAACAAATATCTCTGATATTCTATCTTACATACAAAACAAACAAACTTCGTGGTGCGGAAGCGAACTATACCTACCGAGCGACCGCCGCTTGTCGGCAAAGTTAGTGCCAACTTTAGCGGATAGAGGGGTGTCACGTGGTGAACGCAACGAAACCCCTGGGCCGTTAATTTCGGTTTATGCAACACTCCTTTAAACATCTGTTTAAAAGTTACTATACATATGCAATGAGTCTTTTGAGCGTATTTAAAATCGCATTCTACTCTACATGTTTCGACTGTCATTGGTCATCATCAGGTATTTCAAAACAGTTTGTGGAGACAGCTGTGCTTGCAAATTGTTAATTCACACGTAATCTTACTCTTAGACGCTGTATAACTAAAAAAATTCCAGAGACGTTGTTAAATAAACCAAGAATCAATCATCAGCATCAGATGATGTGTAACTTGAAACACTGTTTCCAATTCCGCACCGAATTGTTGTCTTCGTGAAATGAGCTGAAACGAACGGAAGTATGCTAAACAAGGAGAGGAACTAGACTGGATGTTTATTAAATATGTCGGTATGATTTCACGGTTGGAGGTATGTATCTATATCTTGAAGACTTACAGGAACCCTGTTCACACACCGTCATGGCGACATGAGGCTCTTTTGTTCATCAGGGAGAGAGGCAACTCTAATCTCCCTCCGGATTCTGTCATCGTTGCCGGTAGAACCGAGAGGACCACCCCGACTTCACTACCCCTCTCGACGTGGACTACCGAGGTATTGTTCAACATACCACGCAGTTTAGTCAATTTGTGCAGCGCCAGGGAGACTGGCATTGTGCTGGCATATCTCAAAGCACTGCCACTTGCTGTTCATTTCACTGGCACACAACTCTGTCTTGCTTTGTGATGGACCAGACTATTATTTATACGGTCTGCCTACCTATTGTAGCACATGTGTAATCTGTTTTTAAGAATGTTTACTAAGTTTGACGTCAAACGTACTGTCAGTCGTCTTGCGTTAATGTGCGCTCGGTGTAACAGTTAAGTAGAGCTTCATTTATGTTCATGTTAGTGTTGAAAGGATTTAAACGTAGAAACTTCATGTTCTGATTATGTTTCTGAAGCGGCGTGCATTTCATAATACATTTGTACTTATAACAGATTTAATAATTAATTTTGCTGCTGGATGGATGGTAGCTCAGTCGGTATAGCGACTAGACGGCAGGCTGGGGGAAAAAGGAGTCAGAGTTCGATTCCCGGCAGCGTCCAGACCGACTCTGTGGCCCACCCAGTCTCCTATAAAATGAGTAACGCAGCTGTATCAACGGAGGTTTAGCAGCCGGGGCGTGAAGCTGACCACTCACTTCCAACTAAATCCAAAGTTAAGAATGGTGGAGCTATACCTCCACTCAGCCATATTTCTTCGATAAGTAGTGATTAATAAATTAAAGCCTATGGATGATTTGGGGGCACGCGGTAGCGTAGTTGGTTGTGGGACTATGCTACAAGCCGGAAGGTCGCGGGTTCGTGTCCCATTGAGGTCACTGGATTTTTAAGTTGACCTAATTCTTCTAACCGCACTATGGCCGTGGGGTCAAATCAGCCTCTAAAAGAAATGAGGTCCAGGAATGTTCATGGTGGGTAAAGGACGGCTGGCGCGTAAGGCTGACAAACTCACCTCCATCTGTGAACAGATTGTCTACGAAATGTGGGAGCCTCGACGTCTCACAATCATATAGGTCTTCACGGCCTGTTACAGGGACAGCTTTACCTTTTACTTTTATCTTACTATTCGACGCTATATAATCCGAGTTACCGATAGGGGCGTTAAATGTATCTGGGGTAAAACCAAGTAAAACACAACATGGAACTTCTAAATCAACCGGTGACTATCGAAGTGCTCCCCGATATAAAAAACATGGTGTATATAAATTCCATTTTCACCTAGTTTATTTTAATAACTAACTTCACAGAAGACAGATTTTCTCGGAAAGAGACGAGTAATTCAGTTATTAAATAATTTTCCCCACTATTATGAAACCCGAAAGTCCATTTCAGAGTTCACAAGAACTCACAACTAATTCCTAGCACAAAATTCAGTGAATTTTAATATTATCTGTCCTTCTACGTCTAAGCTTGGGATTTTAAAATGGCAATATCTTTCCATGTTTGACCTAAATTTTGTATAAATATTTTATCTCTC